AGTTTGGTAAAAAGTATGTGATCTGTGTCCCAGGCACTGAACATATTGATGACGATTCGATAAATAAGATTTTAAAAGTACTAGCAATGATACATGAATTCCAATGCTTTCTAATTTATTAAGCAGTAGTTTATGATCAATTCTGTCGAAAGCTTTGGAGAAATCAGTGTAGATTACATCTATTTAACTTCTCCTATCAAGTGCCTTAGATATTAGTTGTGTCTTGCAGAATAAATTGGTTATAGTAGACCTTCCTGACATAAAACCATGCTGATTTGAAATTATTATTTGCCTGAGTTTAAAAGAGAGGTGATTATGGATAACTATTTCAAATACCTTTGAGACCTTATTTAAAATTGTTATTGGCCGATAGTTGGAAATGTTGTTCTTGTCATTTTTTTAAAAATTGGACAATTTGGAAAATAACTATTTTTAAAAATAAGGTTGAAAATCACAGTTAAAGGTTTTGTTAAAATTTGTGCACAATCTTTAATTAGATACGCAGGTATGTTATCGGTTCCAGCCGTCATTTTAGGTTTTAACTTTTTTAATGCATTCAGTACCTCTTCCTCGAAAACACGATTTATGCGCATCTCGTGCGTCGCAACTCGGGCGGAATCCTTAATTTTTCGCATTTCGGGCGGAAGGCTACAGGTAGATTAAATACCCTTCGCAACTCGGGCGTTCAAGGATCGGTACCTGAGAAGGTGCTTTCGGCTTAAACTTTAAATTATATACGGAGTGCCGTACAGGAGGAGCTTGCCAGTTTTTAAATATTATGTAACTTTCATAAAACAAGATTTTTTATTTATCTTTCTCTGCGAACATAATCTTTACATTACATTGTTATGACATTTGAAATTGTAGTTTTTACTGAAAAAAGTGTAATTTATTTATTATATAATTAGATTGATAAATAATAGTGTACCTACCTCGGCTAGCTATTCAATTTTTATTTTAATACATTTTTTATGTAGGGTGTCTGTGTAAGTTGGCTACATATGGAAAACTTTTTTTTATTAGTTTTATCAAAAAAAAATATATTTAGCATAAAGAGTTGTGGATGGTCTAAAACCTAAAATACATCACATTTTTGAGCCGTATACTAGGACAGTATATGGAAAACTTTTTTTTATTAATAATTTTATGAAAAAAATGTCCTTATAAAAAATTGTGCGTGATCTCAGACCTTAAAATACAACCATCATATATCAAATTGTATAAGTCGTATACGAGGTTTGTCAAAAATGAATGTACTTTACTCTTGGCCAAAAATATTTTTTTTGACAAATCGTATACGACTCATAAAAATTGATATCTAATGGGTGCATATAAGGTTTTAGACGTTTAGTTTATTTTTTAAACTAAATATATACGTTATTTGAATATTAATTATTTAACTATATTTTAATATTATATTTAAACGTTGTTATGTAACTAAAAGTTAATCATTTTGTTAAATATATATAACATGTAAAATATTATTGTATTTCAACCTTTTTAACGTTTGGTTAATAATGTAAACCAAATATCTACGTTAATTTAATATTAATTATTCTAGTTTATTTTAATATTCTTTTTAAATGTTATTATGTAATTGTGGTACAACCGAAAGTTGGATATTAAGATACATACACGTTTAATATTAACGTTTCTTTAAATTACATAAAACTCGTAATAAAAACGTTATTGTATCGAAACACTTTGACGTTTTGTTTATATTTTACCTAAAAATATTAATTATTCTACTTTATTGCAATCATATTTTTAAACATTTTCATTGATTATACTTGAAATATTAAGTTGGTTTATGTTTGTTATGTTGTAAATGGCCAAGATTTGAAAATTTTCTCATTTGTTAGAAGAGAAAGAAGATGGGTTATGTTGTAGTCATTTTATTTTAAGTACTATAATTTTATATTAGAGAAAATCATATATTCTAAATAATTGGAAGTTTGCGTCTGTTGTTTGATACATTTCTGAAATATCAGTATGTTATATTTCTGATAGGTTTCAAATTATTATTTATAAAATATATGAAATATTACATTTACAGGATATTTTTACAATTTAGAAATGTTTCTGAGGCGTTTCGTAATATTTATATATTATTTTATCATATTCATGATTTCCTTAAAATGGTCCGTATTCGAGAATTTTGACAAAAAGTGCAAAATTCGAATTTTAAAGAAAATTCTTCAAATAAAAGTTGCTTACAATGTAATTCTCTATAATTTTTGTTCCATACATTTCTCTAAAATAGACCGAATTAGGGAAATTTGAGGTAAAGTGCAAAATTCGAATTTTTCTCATTTTCACTTATAATACCCCTAGTAACCAAATTATTTTCGGAAATATTTTAGAAATCGCCAATAATTTGAAAATGATCCCAATATCATGCTCTATATTTTTTATTCTACACATCAGATTGTAATCAGAATCAGGGTACATAAACTATGGTCAAATTTCATATTCCGTCGACGCCCGAGTTGCGAACTCACAGGTGCACAATTTTGGAGGGCGCCCGAGATGCGACGAATTCAGGTAGTTTTATATTACGCCCGAGTTGCGAACGCACGAGTTGAGAAAGTACCGAAAACACAGGTTATGTTAATTACATTATTATTGTTTGACTCTATTTTAATATTTATAGGATTAGGAATGGTATAATTGGTGTAATTCGCTGAGAAAAAGTCCGCGAAACTATTTACTATATCCTGGGGGTGCTAAGCTGTATGTCATTATAAGTCATATTATTGGGTATTAAAGATGAACTTCCACGTTTTGTATTCACTAATGCCCAGAACGATTTGGGATAATGTTTTACGTTTTTCCTCTGAGGATCTTAAAAAAGTTTCGTAGGCCGTTTTGATCTTTTCTTTAATATCAGATCTGCAAACAGCGAATTTAGCGTAATTATAATAATTTTTTTTGGCTTTATATTGTTTCCATAGCGTTATACCACTTTGGGTAGTGTACTTTGGTTGATCTTTTCTTTGGAACATGTAGCTCAAAAATGTTATTTAATTTAGCTTTACACTATCATCCACATTGTTATAATTACTTAGAGAGGACCAATTAGTTTTAAATATACTTTGATACAGTCGAGGAAAGTTTGCTTTTTTAAAATTATAACCACAGGAGGATATTGAAGCTAAATATTTGTTATTTTCAAAAGGTATTTCTATAGTGAGGGCAGGGTTGTGACTGTTAGTTGGAAGTAGAACGTCGATGGCGTTCTCTACTTTACGTGAGCTTACATTTGAAAAAACTAAATCAAGTAGACCACCATTCTCGTTCAGTACTTTATTATATTGCTTGTGATCGTAAAATTTTTGGAAGTTTATCAACGATTGAATCTTTCTTGAGGGATTCACTTCTGCTGAATAGTTGTAGGAAGCGAAGTCTTTAATATTAAAGTCGCCAATAATTAATAATTTATTGTTATAACAATTATTTAGTGATGTGACACCTGCTAATAAGAGTTCAATATCATCAGTAGTAACCTGAGGAGGGATATAAATATTGAGTATAAATAAATCGGAACCTTTAAACTTTAATTTCACTGAAATTATATCGATGAGGGGTAAATCCTGAAAGGTTGCAATATGTCATTAAAGGACGCTAAGAGTTATTGGTTATTTGATATGGTCTGTCTGATCTAAAGATGTCAAAATCGTATGTGTTCATAAATTCAGAATTACCGATTGAATCAGGGAGCCAGTGAGAGCTATTATGTCATATTATACCGAGGTAGCAGAACTGATATAAAGATCTTGAGTTTTTGTTCTAATACCTTACACGTTTTGGTAGTAAATAGTAACAGAAGTTGAATTTGGTGATTTTGAGTCGTTATGTACCTGCTGTGATGGCTACATATTGGAAAGGATGTTTGATGTAAATTTAGAAAGAGTTGATTTGTATACGTGACATTCTGTGCGGTATGATTGGCTGAAACAGGGCTATTAGTTGTTTTATTATAATTGTAACAATTAATACAATATTTAATGGATCTCGGACAGTCTTTTAGTTAATGGTTTTGAGTGCATATAGGATACATAAAGATAGACGATTTACAAACTCTGGACGAATGATGGTAACCACAACATTTGAAGCATCTCCTCAAATCAACTCCGTCATAGATGGAACAATATTCATGGCCGAAGAAGAGTTTTCCCTGAAGCATTACAATTTTGTAGGTAGATATATCGCACTGAATAACTGCCTGATGAAGTTTGTTGTTTTTCTTAAGTGAAAAATGGGAAATATTTGTTAGAGCAGCAACTATTTCATTTTTATTTTGAATTTTAAAACAGTAAATCAGTTCTTCATCAGATAGTTTTTCAGACATACCAACAATTTCGAATCTAGCATTTAAAACTGGCACTTCCTTAATGGTGTAATTATTAGCGAGCTTCTCATCAGCCAACTGAATTTATTGGAATCTTCTGAATTCTCACAGCTCACCACGAGTCCGCCATTTCCACTGTGAACCACTTTAAAAAGACATATATTTGAAGAAACGGGATTAATATTTTTTACCATGTAATTTTTTGTTGAAGCAGAGTCTTGCTTGTTTTTGAGCTTGATTAAATATAAAGGATGATCACATTCTAGAAGTAACACCAAATAATACGAGCCACACCAGTTAGAGACTTACCCTAGCTGGTGCGGCTAGCAATGCAAATATTAAGGATGGAAAATCGACCTGTCCAAGAATTAATTTTTTACTTAACTAGTAAACATTTTATTTTTTATGTTTGATAACACATGTTATATAAGTACTTTTAAAAAACCGAATTCAAAATAGTGCAGATTTTTTCATAGATCATCAGATCCTGACCAATTGTATATGAAAATACCCATAAGGTATTCCCTTTCTAACAAAAAAAAATCATAGAAATCGGATAACGTGGAAAAGATTTATCGCTGAACATATATAAAAAAAAATCTGACGAATTGGCTACCTCCTCCTTTTTTGAAGTCGGTTAAAAATACATAATAACTGTCAAGGAAGATGGAACATAAGACATTAGAAATAACGTTGATATTAATTTTTTCATGAAGTATCATCAAAAGTCGATCAAAATTGACAGTAGGTCATATAATGTAATAAACCACTTCAGTAGATTTTAAAATTCTTTAAATAACTCCAACAATGTGTTTAGTATCTTTTTTCTATAATGGCTAGCGGCAAAATTGAAGAGCTGCACAAAAAACTTAATGATTTGATAGCAACCGCCAATGAAAAGCAACAAGAAGAGTTGAAAAAAGAATTCACTGAATTTTCAAAAATATATCAGAGATTTTTAGAAGGAAAAAGCTCTAGAATCCAATGGAACAAGATTAAGCAACTATCGGATGACGCTATTGTTAAATATGAGAATTTAATAGAACCCTCAATCAGTGATCATGCTCAGATGCTCAATAAACTTGTTGTCATAAAACTTAATGGCGGTTTGGGAACTTCGATGGGTTGTACAGGACCTAAATCACAAATAGTAGTAAAAGATAATCGCACCTTCTTAGAACTTACTGTTGAGCAAATTAATTATCTTAATCATACGTGCAACGTTAAAATTCCTCTGGTATTTATGAACTCCTTCAATACAGACGACGATACCGAAAATGTCTTAGCCAATTTAAGAAATCCAAATATTTTTTTATACTCCTTCCTTCAATCGTGTTATCCAAGGATAGCTAAAGATACTTTAATGCCTATCGCAAGTACCTCTGACATAAAAGACTTTTACGATGCTTGGTATCCTCCTGGTCATGGTGATTTTTATACCAGTTTTTGGGATTCTGGTCTACTTGAACGGCTAATAAATGAAGGAAAAGAATATTGTTTCGTTTCCAATGTAGACAACTTGGGAGCCACCGTGGACCTAAAATTATTAAATCTAATCATGAACAACTGCGATGAGTGTGAGATACCTGAGTTTGTAATGGAAGTTACAGAGAAAACAAGAGCAGACGTCAAAGGAGGTACTTTAATCCTCTATGAAGGAAAAGTAAGTTTGTTAGAACTTGCCCAAGTCCCAGATGAAAACGTCAACGATTTCAAATCTGTGAAATATTTCAAATACTTTAATACGAATAACTTATGGATAAGTTTAAAAGCCATTAACAGATTAGTGACAGATAATAAACTTAATTTGGATATAATTATTAACAACAAAAGTCTCTCTGATGGTACTAAAGTTATTCAGCTCGAAACTGCTGTGGGCGCTGCAATGAAGTACTTCAATAAGAGTATAGGCGTTAAAGTACCAAGATCACGATTTTTACCTGTTAAAAAATGCTCGGATTTAGTATTAGTGAAGAGCAATCTTTACGAGAACGAAAATGGTTCGTTAATAGTATCACCGAAAAGAACTTTTCCGAATACGCCAATTCTTTCACTTGATGAAAAGTACTTTAAAACAGTCGCCAAAGCATCTGCAAGATTCAAAGGTATACCTGATCTAATAGAACTGGATCTTCTGATAGTTACTGGGGACGTTACATTTGGTCAAGGAGTAATATTAAAAGGTACAGTCGTTATTGTGGCTAACGAAGGATGTAAAATTGATATTCCTAATGGTGCTATATTGGAAAATAATGTTATAGAGGGAGATCTTCGTATTGGTGAATATTAAGTTTGTAAAAAAGATTTACTTAGTAAAACCATTATTGTGCATTTTTTAAAAATGTTATCTTCTGTGTATTTTTTATTATAATAATGTATATCAAATTTGTTTAATTTATGAAATCTAAACAATTTGTCTATTTCAAAATTATACATAAATTTAAGCGAGTTTTCGGAATAATATTATGATAATTTCACTTAAGGACTTAACTCTGCTTAGTAAGGAGGCAATCTGAGAATTTCAATTCCTTTTTCTCGGGCCATCTCGTCTATAATGTATTTTTTGAGTTTAAATTTTTTTATTGTATGTCCAGCATTAACCCATGTTTCATCTAAATAAAATACCTGTTTATGCTGATTCCTTGCGTCCGCTATTTTACTTAAATAATCATATATCCAGGCAATGTTTTTCTTTGTTAAAAAGCTGTTCCTGTCACATTTTTTGTAACGGAAATTTAATTTATGTAATATTTTTTGCAGATGAAATTATATATTTGGAAGAGTGGGGTTATTTTCTATTTCTGAGTTTAATTTTTTAAGTGTAGGAATTTAATTTCGAAAGAAAAAAGAATGTACCATTTCGCTTATTACATTCTTTACCCGAGTTTCAATAAAGGTCTTGTTTCTTCCTGGGGACTTTTTCGGATGTGAGACTTTTCCAATAATTGTATCTTCTTTAATAATCTTATACACTGTCCGCTTAGATACTCCTATATAGGTCTCACATTTAATGGCCATTTCATCCCCAGAAAGTGAAACAAAGTCTTTTCGAAGATTATTAAATACATTAAGTATGATATGTTTTTCTTCTAAAGATAATGCTTTATGTCCACTAGGTCGTTCACGCGTACTTGTGCTTGCAATATTTTTTAATGCCATTTTGATATTATGTAAAATTATAATATATTCTAATACAAAATTCCGAATCAATTAAAATACATACGATACGGCTATGAATAAATAAAGTCGGACTTATCTGTCAAAAGAAACATGATTAAATCTAAACGAAAATTTTTACAAATAAGCATTGAAGAATGAGATAAATAAAATGTCTACCTCTTGAACCTTTACTACGTCCTGCAAATTTAATTAGTGCACTCCTTTCTTATATAGACTATAGAATTGTGGGCGAATAATAGGTTTGGAGTATTTTTTTATCTTTATATTGTTTTAACAATAGAGTTATCATTTGGTACCTATTAAAAAATTGTGTTTCAGTATGTAGCATTTCAGTTCTTGTTTTTATAGGTATATTTTTTTAAATGTTATTTTTTTATGACACATTTTTAAATTTTTTGTAGGTTGTGTATTCGCTTCGTGCGCGACAGCAGCGCCAATTCGTTTTGGTACTAATGGACTATTTCTGCGTGTACTGACAAATACAATTTTTAATAGAATTCGTAATAAAAAAGTATATATGTTAGTTTGAATAAAATTATATAGATTTGTAAAACAAGTAAAATATTAATTTATTATTATATATTTTTATCGCTTAAATTAAAGAAAATTATGTATAATCAATAAAAATCAATAATAAAATATAGGTAGGCAACAGTATTTACTGGAAAATGTATGAGAAGTTGCCTAAGTCTAATAAGTTGTCATTGAAGTATTAACCTATTCTGTCTAAATAAAAAAAATACATTTAATAATAGCGTGAAGTTAAAATGTATAAAAAAAGGATCGTTATTTATATTTTCATTTTTGTTCGAAATAAAGCAGAATGAATGATTAAAACTGGTTTCCCATCAGTAAGTCACAAAGTTGCGTTCCAGTCTCATATAATAATCAAAGGCAAAAATCTTGAAATCTAATGAACATTTAACAATAAAGTGATATTAAAGAACATCGTAAAATGATAATTTATTGTTTATTTAAAACCTTTCAAGTTTCTGATGTCTACTATTTCCAGCATTACTGTTATTATTACAAAAATAAAGGTTAATTTTTTCCTTTTATTGTACACCTATCCATTTATTTCTTTGATTTAATTTCCACTTTGCTACTGACATTTTTTATATAAGTTTTACTGTTTTTTTTTGCTAGTATTTGTACAATTTTCAACACCGCAACTTCGGTTGCTTATTGTATTGTTTTTACCTTCTTTTTTGAAAAAAAGTAAAATGTATACGTGTATTTAATATGCCAAAATTACAAAATATCGCCCTAAAATACACGAATTATCCGCAGCTAGCGCTAGTATCGCTTTTGCTTCCCTTTCCATGACTTCACACAGAGCGAATACGTGTTGTTATAAATTAATCCACAGAATCGTTCAAAGTTTTTTATTATATAATTTACTTAAGAATAACATTTTAACTGAGAATCTATTTGTTCTTAGATATTTCGTGTTATTGGTAGACCCAATTTTTATTTGTTGATTCCTATTCTGGTTTATTTGAAGATACTTATATGCTTCTAAATTATTACTATATGAGGTAAAAGGAATGAATGATGTCTTCTCATAGTTTAAAAGTAAGTACCTTATAAATAAAACGTTTTTTAACGGTATTTTTGAGTGATTCCCAGTTATGTTAATAAAAAATTGACGTTATATAAATACACTGGTCCGCGGACTGTTCCCTGGGAACACCACATTTAATAACTTTGGTATCACTAAAACGGCCGTTGATATTAACAATATGTTTTATATTTTCTATATTGATATTAAGTGATTTGAATCTGTAATTTTCTAGAGTTTATAATAATTTTTAACGGTTAACTGTATCAATGATGATTGTTTTTCATCTATAGAATTGTTAATAAATTTTGTCAATCTTCCCATAGCATCCGAAGTTGAGGTTTGTTGGCGAAATAATGAATGTAAACACTAAAAGTTTGCGCCCAGAGTTTGAAATTATTTTTCACTCAATTTTAGAAATTAAAATTCTCAAAAACTTAATCAGTCGAGTAAAGAAGGGGGAAATAAATAACTTCGTTGTGTCTGAGTTTCTGGACTACAAAATTATCGTTTTTACACCCGGTATATATATTTAAATAGGTACATTAGATGTGGAGGGGGGCACCGGGGATTCTGGAGGTAACCGTGATCACCCTAACCTTTCTACACCAATGAGGGGACCATAGATAAATTAATAAAACAACATGAATTTTTTAAATGCACGACACTGTCAACACGTTGTAGTTCCCAGCATACTATTAGTTAGCGCCACTGTCGCAATAGTATGAAAGCGATGTTGCCGGTTTCCGTAAACTTTCATGAGATAAGAGTTATTTCAAATTCATCATTTTAATTTTTTATCAATCTACATACCATCCATACAATGTCCATACTATTGCTGGGATTTTTAAAAGAAGGAGTTGACAACCGTGATGGCGGAAGGCCAAATATGATAACTGATAAGTATTAGCAATTTAATTTAATATTAAAGGTGTGTAGATTTATTTGAGGACTTTGTTTATCATTGTTTTCTTAACCTTATATAATTTCATATTTCATGGATTTTCAGTTCTGTTTTAATATTTGAAACAAAAAATGTCTGGCCCGGGTATAGTTAAGTATTCTCGAGAGTATTCTTGTTGAGCTCCTAATTGTTTAAATAAGTATTAGTCTAAAATTCAGAAAGTTGGATATTTAAATATTACACCTTTTTTCATTTTCCTTCCGATATTAAAATTTGCCAAAACTGGTTTAAGACTTTAAATTTAACTTTAGATAATAATACTCGCTATCTTTGTGCAGACAATTGTTGTCTGAGTCTTTTAGTAAGGTTTCCTCAAAACGTAAACTGCTAGTTGGACATTCTGTACCAATTTCATTAGATAATTGTGCATCCAGTCCAAATATACAACCTGACAATAGTAACAATTAGATTTTAGAATATGATGAAGCTGAAGCACAAATATAGCAGCATAAGAAAAACAAGAAATTAGCTGCTAACGTTAACTTAATAATTAGTGATGAACAATTTGAACGACCGTCGAAACAAAGATAAACAATGACAAATAAAAGTAGGGTCAGAAATTTAAGTCTTAAAGAGAAAAAGTTTTATTTTTATTATTATTTGATAAGAGAAATTGTTCAATAAGACATGTACACTTTTTGTTTTGTTTTTATAGGAAACACCGGACACCCAACAAAATATGGTCTATTTCTCCAAGAATGGGGGAGTCTACCACTACTCATTTTACCTACAATTCTTTTTTAATATTGAACTCATTATCATGTATTACTGTATAATAAATAATTAAAACATATGTTTCAAAAATTTGATTTTATTGTAAATATTTTTTTTATATTTTTTTGGGGTTTTATTACGAAAAAAAAAAATCTAATATTTATGTAAAATATCATCTTTTGATGTAAATATTAGTTTTTTTAGAGTAATGAATGCCAAAAAATGTAAATAAATAATAAATTATATTTGAATGAACCGCGGTTGGCTTTAAGCTTTTCTTTTTTAATTCTTCTCTTTCTTATTCAGCCCCTAACTGGCAAGTCAATCAGCCAGTGTAGTTAAAAAAAATCCGATCCATACTAATTCGCAACACTATACGTTTCCAAAAATTAACACGGGATCCGACTATCTTCTTTATTAATTTATCTATGGAGGGGACAGAGGTGAAGTATACAAATCAATCCTTTTTTAATATTATATAGCTACTGAAACTTTTCTTTGTAAAATTTTTTATTTACTTTGTTATTAGCTTGCAAAATAATCAAAGTTAATGCAGGATATTTAACCGAGAAACGGAAAATCTATGTTATCTAAATGATTTACTTTACTGCGAAAAATCGGTCTGCCAGAATGTCATAAACTTCCATTTCAAATTGAATATATCCAGAACAATAAAAACGCGATATTTCAAGATTATGTCAAAACCGAGGAATATCCGCAACATATTTCGCTATAATAAATTAAATAGAAATAGCCCGTTCAATTTTCCTTCACAAATTGAATGGAGATAAGTATGCATGTCGAATGGCGTATAATTTTGTTGACTAGTATTCTCCGGAACGGTCCCAAATAATTTGATATATAGATTCAATTTGTTACACTGTATAACGTTTTCAAGATAACAGGATGGCGACGACGGCGACTCGAATGTTCTACTTGCCAGAATCAATTTCGTTTTATTAGAAATGAGCTTTATAAGATTTAAATGAATCAGAGAAATCTCCAACTTAAATCTATCTACTATCTACCGATGGACTAGAACTGTCTATTGGAAACTAATTTATTTATTCACAAGGAATACAAATTCAAATAACAACTACTAGACTAGTTTTGTTTATAAATTGCAAACATTTACGATGTTATCCACGTAGTTGTCAAATTATTATAAGAGAGTATGGGAGAGTCTTGTTACAATGATTTTCTGTGGTTATAATTCAGCATTGACTTAACATAAGGCTCTTAAAAGCACAAAAGGATTTCAAAATTATACTAAGGAAGTATATTTGCATTCTTAATGCTAGTTATTATGAGTTTAATATATTTTTTTCGTTGCAACTATCATAGTTGAAAGTGATTTTCAGTAAAAAA